CATAAGCACACAAAGGAGTGCACGCAAATATACACACACGGACAGACACGCACAAACATACGCACACACAAACAAACATGCACAAGCACACAAAGAAGTGCACGCAAATTTACACACAAGGACAGACACACGCAAACATACGTACATGCACACACACACACACACATACAAACCACACAAACATACGCACACATTAACAAACACACACAAGCACACAAAGGAGTACAAGCAAATTTACACACACGGACAGACATACACAAACACACACATACGCACACACACACACAAACATATGCACACATTAACAAACACGCACAAGCACACAAAGGAGTGCACACAAACATATACACATGAACAGACACTCACAAACATACACGTGCACACACACACACACACACACACACACACACACGTACAAACAAGCGCAGACACGCGCGCAAAAGCACAAAAACATGCATGCATGCAAACACGCACAGACACAAGTACACAAATGCGTGCACAAAAACACGCAAACATGCCACAAGCACACACACGCACACAAACCCACAGACACACACACACAAACAGTGGTCAGGGAATTATGGGAAAATCATGGAACTTTAAAAGGGCTGTTCCAGTCATCTAAAGCCAGGAGATTTAATGCAATGTTTTATTCTTCTATATCATGCGTTTGATCCCATTGTTCCTCTATTTATCAGCACCATTTTACTCCTTGCCTGCTTGTCAGCCAGCAGTCATTCAAGTCAAATGCATTCACTAAGCTGTGTCTGTTTGTTTTGCCCGCTCAGCAAACACAACAGTCTTCTGTTCATGATGAATCATATAAACTCAGCTTTGTAGTCAGAGAAAGTCAAGGAATTTGACATCAGGCTCAGAGCGGGAACCCTCACACACACACAGACGTCTCCACAGTAGTGTGCTGGTATCTGTGGCTCAGTGCTGCATGGCCAATGATGACTGATAAGAGGGACAGCTTTTAATAACGACACTGATATGGACCTCCCTCCTTACGCCCGCTGTGATCCACACTCATAATTAATATAATTTTACATCAAGAGCAATCATAGCCAGAAGACTGGTCATTTCTGCCAGACTTGGCATAGTGTGGGATCCCTGCTGCTTACTCATTTACCAGCATATGGAGACGCCGCAGTGGACCAAGGTGCTTTTCACTTCCAATTTCTTGCTAAAGGTGTTTGCTTGAACTGGGCCCAGAAGAGCTCCATACAGCAAAAACCCACGTGACAAACACAGCAGGGCCTGTGTCATCTGTCACTCACTGTTAACAGACGCTCAATTAACCATAAACTAATTACATAAAAAATCCTAAAACTACATTTTCATACGCAAGATGGAAGAGAAATTCACTGTGACTTCTGGCAGTTTTTTAGCATTGTGTATACAAACTTATTACTGATTATTATTTATAATTGACGTTTACTTTTACATGAATCACCAGCCACTTTATTAGGTACACCTGTCCAACTGCTCGGTAACGCAAATTTCTAAATCAGCCAATCACATGGCAGCAACTCAATGCATTTAGGCGTGTAGACATGGTCAAGACGATCTGCTGCTGTTCAAAGCGAGCATCAAAATAGGGAAGAAAGAGGATTTAAGTGACTCTGAATGTGGCATGGTTGTTGGTGCCAGACGGGCTGGTCTGAGTATTTCAGAAACTGCTGATCTACTGAGATTTTCACGCACAACCATCTCTAGGATTTACAGACAATGGTCTGACAAAGAAGAAATATCCAGTAAGTGGCAGTTCTGTGGGCGCAAATGCCTTGTTGATGCCAGAGGTCAGAGGAGAATGGTCAGACTGGCTCCAGCTGATAGAAAGGCAACAGTAACTCAAATAAGCACTCGTTACAACCGAGCTCTGCAGAAGAGCATCTCTGAACACACAACACGTCCAACCTTGAGGCGGATGGGCTACAGCAGCAGAAGACTACACCGGGTGCCGCTCCTGTCAGCTAAGAACAGGAAACTGAGGCTACAATTCACACAGACTCACCAAAACTGGACAATAGAAGATTGGAGAAACGTTGCCTGCTCTGATGAGTCTCCATTTCTGCTGACACATTCGGAAGGTCGGGTCAGAATTTGGCATCAACAACATGAAAGCATGGATCCATCCTGCCTTGTATCAGCGGTTCAGACTGGTGGTGGTGGTTTAATGGTGAGGGGGGATTTTCTTGGCACACTTTGGGTCCATTAGTACCAATTTAGCATCAATGCCACAGCCTACCTGAGTATTGCTGCTGACCATGTCCATCCCTTTATGAGCACAGTGTATTCAGCAGGATAACGCACCATGTCATAAAGCATGAATCATCTCAGACTGGTTTCTTGAACAGGACAATGAGTTTACTGAACGCAAATGGCCTCCACAGTCACCAAACTCAATCCAATAGAGCACGTTTGTGATGTGGTGAAACGGGAAATTCACATCATGGATGTGCAGCGGACATATCTGCAGCAACTGTGTGATGCCATCATGTCAATATCTTGTTGAATCTATGCCACAAAGGATTAAGGTAGTTCTGAAGGCAAAAGGGGGTCCAACCCGGTACTAGTAAGGTGTACCTAATAAAGTGGCCGGTGAGTGTTTAAACTTTAGTTATTTGGTATGAGCTCTTTTTAAGTTTAATAGTGGTTGTATGTGAATTTAATAAATTAACTTACTAATTTTTAAAACAATTATATTAGAATTTCGAATATTTCAAGTAGCATTTTGAGTAATTTGGGATGTTTTTATATTTCAGTGCTAACCACTGAGCCACTGTGCTGCCATAATACTTGCATTTCATTGTTATTTTTTAAAAGACGTATTTATATCTTCATAAAGTTAATATATATATATAAAATGTTACTTTTGTAAAGAGTTTAAGACTAGATGAAAAAAGAAATGTGTATATTTATCAGCCAAGGACATTAACACAGCTTTCAATCAGATGAATGAGCAGATGAAACTCACCCATCACAGGAATCGGTGTGCCCGCCGGGGTCCCGGGCCGCCTGATCAGAGCTTGCGGGGTCGAGGCTGACAGACCTTTTTCAGGTGGTCCTCCTGGAGCGGACAGTGGCGTGCCGGGGACTGACGGGCCAGGTACAGGGACTGGAGGAGGACGACCAGTGGGACGAGGAGACACAAGCCGATGACGTAGCTCTGAAAAAAAAAAAAAAAAAAACAATAACACAAACGCTCATTGCATCTTATAAATTTCTAAACCCTGTAATATAAAATAAATTGTGTGTGATTAATCACATCCAAAATAAAAGTTTATTTTGACAAAAGAGATGTGTGTGTACATTATATGTACATATATTTATTATGTATATTCACTAGACACACATACATTGGAACAAAACTATACAAAACAATTTTGTTACATACAAATTTAAATGTATATACAATTTGTATCATAGACATGTATATGAAAAAAGCACTACAGTTTTTACTATAAGTTAATATAGTATATTTTCATTTGGGTGTCTGACAACTGAAAATAGATCTAATAGCAGATATTATAAATTAATTATATTAATTATTATAAATTATAGATTCTCAAACATATGCATGCATGTGTATTTATATATTCAGAGTAAGTATACAAAGTACACACAGGTGCATTAGGTCATACATTTTTATTGTGGATGTGATTCATTTCGATTAATCTTTGTCCAGCACTAAAAATAAAACATTTGAGTATACAGCTAAATGTGTCTCTATGTAAACGGCCATAAAAAAGACATAAGCCTTTTTATTATGACAAAAAGTGCAAAAACAAAAGGTGTTCGCATCATTATCATCGTGTCTACATACATTACCCACCTGTTTAATAAACGCACGGTTGAATAACACTTTACATCCCTCAAAATGGTCTATAGTGTTAAAACTAGTGTTTTAACCATACTGACACTGACACCTCCAATAGAGATAAAGATGTTGCACAATCAACTAAAGTGTTGCTAGAATAGTTTTTTTTTGTGAATGGACAATGTATATATATATATATATATATATATATATATATATATATATATATATATATATAATTTTTTTTTTTTTTATTGCATCACCAATATATATTGAGATCATGTCCATGTCTTTTGCGATGAGTCTATATATTAATTATTGTAAAAGGCCTAGATTTCATCCAGTTTTACCCACATGGCATGTCACTAAAACAATTTACTAAACTCTGATAAAAGATTATGAAGCATATATATCTCCAATTTCTAGCTTTAGAGGTGGACTGGATTTGATTGCTCACCTTGGCCTTGTCTTGGAGTGGCAGTCGGGCCAATGGGTTGAGTCTCTAACTCCTTCAGAGAAAAAAAAAAAAAACACACACACACATTAAATCCATCACATCTGTATTAAAGGGGAACTATTATGCAAAAGTCAATTTAACCACAATTTAATTGGTTTAAACACAGTTGTGTGGGAACAGTCTGTGAATATAACCAGCTTCTAATGGTAACCATGTATATATTATTTTTATTATAATCACACTTGATAAAAGCCGTCTGCAGAAACACTTTGATTGACATTCTCCATTTGTATGACGTCATTAGAGGGGGGAAACCCCGCCCACTAGTGACCATCTCTCCCTCATTAGCATAGGATGTTAGTTTTGTTTCTGTATCTGACACTGCTGATACACAGGCATTCATAGCTCCTCCCTCTTTGGAAAAAAGAGCATAATCTCATTTGAATTTAAAGCGACAGTCACCAATATGCCACATTTAGTGTCAAAGTGTAAAAGGGTCAGTTTCAGAGAGTTAGAAAACATTATATGCGTGTTATTTTGAGCTGAAACTTCACGTAAACACTCTATGGACGTCAGACTTATTTTACATTATTTTACATCTTGTAAAAAGGAGCATGTTTTGATAAGCAAGATGATGAATTTGAATATAATACTTACAAGCTTCTTCTTTGAGTCTGGGTCAAAGCGTTCAAGAATCAGCTTGGCATTTTTATAGGTCTCCGTTTCCATCACTTGTTCAAGCTGAAATAAAGTGAAAATATGACAATCCCATCAGCACAATTACATCAAACAGTAATGAATGCTGAATAATCATAACAATATCCGGAATTTCAAATCATTTTAATTTATGGTAACTGTCCAATAAAGGGTTAATCTTGCGCCTTTTGGGGGGGGGGTGGTTAAAGGCAGAAACTAATTTGGTCCGTTTCCTCACATCTACGGTTCAGTTTCATCTTAAAACTTCATTTCAGGCTAAGAGCAAATAGTGCTAATTATTTAACTTTAATGAATAGAATAATTACAAGCCCTACTGCGATAATGGGGAGTGTGAAAATCCATCAGCTGTAATTATTGAAAGTTATTAGACATGACAGTGGATGACAAGCAATTTCTCAGATTTATTTCCTCCCATCACTAAACACTATTAATTTAAAGACAAGTCGTTAGCCAAGCACTTTACCAAGTAAAGTCTCTGTGCCAATTACCCGCTGTCTTCATTGATTTCAGATTATTTATTAAGAGCAGAAATGATCTCTTTCTCTCGCTGACAGCAGAGGAGCTCGATATGATGAGAAGGAAAACAGGACGTTGTTTTCCTGGCATTAGTGTAAAGCTAACAGTAGAGGGAAGCACCCTGACTGGGTAAAATTACTAGCTCGCTCATATTAAAATGTTATGATGTATGCATATATGAGAGGACATGCACTCAAGCAGTTTTAATATGACTTGTGGAAGCTATTTTAACAGCATTGTGTGTCTAGAGTCATATTGGAGTGATATGAAAGATAACAAGCATCTTTTTTAAAAAATTCCTTCACATTACATCAGGAGGAGGTGTCACGGTGGCACAGCGGGTAGCACGATCGCCTCACAGCAAGAAAGTCACTGGTTCGAGCTTCGTCTGGGTCAGTTGGCATTTCTGAATGGAGTTTGCATGTTCTCCAATTTGACATAGCAGCATTGTTTTCCCCACCCACCATTATTGATTGATAGGCGCATATTATAATGTGTCAGTATTAACTTGTATAAAAATGTCCACATGACAGGATTTGCAAAGAAACTTAGATTAAAAGATCTGTTCCAACTCTGTGATCAAACTGGTCAGGTATAGCTGTATAGTTTACACAACTATAAACAAGGACGCTTCAATCACACAACAGGAGTCCCGATTTGAGAACGCTAAATCAGGTTTATTTTGAACAGTAACTTGGCTATAAATATCTCTAACCAGAAGCATATTTACCCATTTGCATACTGTCAAATAATGGACACCAGATTCTTCACTGCATAATTTAAATATTCTAATTGAAGAGCAGCGAATGAATCTCTCATTTAGATTTTTCATTTGACTACATTACATAACAGAGGTGTCACTTTAAAAATGCACAGATAGTGAAAGCATTCAATAATTTTTTTGTTAATTTAAGACAAAATTGTGTTTAAAAGAAAACCCACCAAGATGGACATGTTTAGACATTATTATTATTATTATTATTATTATCATCATTATCATTATTATCATTATTATTATCATCATTATAAAAATCATTATTATTCTCATTATTAATATTATTATTATTATTATTATTATTATTATTGTCATTATTATCATTATTATTATTTTTATCATTATTATCATTATTATTATTATTATCATCATCATTATAAAAATTATTATTATTCTCATTATAATATTAATATTATTATTATTATTATTGTCATTATTATTATTATTATCGTTATTATCATCATTATTATTATTATCATTATTATTGTTATTATCATCATTATTATTATCATTATTATTGTTATTATCATTATTATTACTATCATTATTATAATTATTATCATCATCATCATTATTATTATTGTTATTATCATCATTATTATTACTATCATATTATCATCATCATCATTATTATTATTATCATTATTGTAATTATCATTATTATTATTATATTATTATTATCATCATCATCATCATCATCATTATTATTATTATTATAATTATTGTAATTATTATTATTATTATTATTATTATTATTATTATTATTATTATTATAATTATCATTATTGTAATTATCATTACTATTATTATATTATTATCATCATCATCATCATTATTATTACTATCATTATTATCATCATCATAATCATTATTATTTTTGTTATTATTATTATTTTAATTATCATTATTGTAATTATCATTACTATTATTATATTATTATTATTATCATCATCATCATCATCATCATCATTATTATTATTATAATTATTGTAATTATTATTATTTTTATGTGTATGAGTCTGTTCAAACACACTACTTAAGACCCAGAGTATCCACTTTCGCTTTGCTTCAAACAACGTATTCAGAATTCGTTTTGGAAATAGCATCTATTTATCAATATGGATTGCGTCTGACAGTCACGCACCGCTACATGATCGACTGTTTTGAGGATTGCATGAGAGGGGCAATGGCGCCTGTAATAGAAAGTAAGGGAATCCTGCCATTTTTATTTTTATTTCAAAGTGTTTTCATGCCTAAATAAAATAAAAGTACAGAACAGATTCACATTTAAGAGGAAGGGGCATCCCCTGGTGGTTCGGCGGTATGGGTTGCGTATAGGGAGGATCGGCTCTTGTTTATTGCCACCCTTCATAGATATGGGAAAATACATTTACAGGATGATAGCGGGATAGAATTGCAAAAGGCAGGAGAATCCTGGGAAAAATAAGGGGGTTGACAGGTATGCACATTTGAGCAACAAAACACAACCTGTTATATGTGCACGCATGTGTGTGCGCGCACACTGCGATCATTGCAATTGCATTTGTGTGTTGCTTATTCATCTTATCGTGGTATTTGTGACTGAGTTTATCATTACATCCTACCCCATTTATACCTCTCAGAAATTAAATGTTATAACCTGCTTATTTGCCTTTAAAGCCACAGGCAAAAAAAAACACAATAATCTCTCACCCAAAAACGTACATTTTTAACAGGCTATATAATAAACGATCTGATGTGTATTTTAACGCTGAAACGTCACAGACATTTGTAAAAAGGCCAAACAGAAGAACAAACACAAAACAGACAAAAAGCAGCCTAAAATTAAAAGACACAACAGCAGAAAGTTACTCACTATTTTCTTTTTCTCTGCTTTCAGCTCTTCTAACTTTTCATCTAAGAAACAAAACAGTAAATAAAAACAACAGAATTGAACCTGTAGGTATAATTCATCACACTGAATTAAACAGACAATACAGAAAAACAGAACTCATAATGAGATCATCTAAAACCCAGGAAGGAAAATCTTACTGTTTCTCTCTGTTCGCTTGTTGTATAAAACTATCAGCAGTTTCCTCAGCAGCCAAATCCTTCAGAAGAGAAAAGGAAAGTTATTAATATGAATCTTTATTAATCTTAACATTACTTTCAGCTTGTTGACAGGAAACATTTACCATTCATTAAGTTCCACTTAAGACTTTTATTAAAAAATTAGAAAGAACATTAAATTAAAAAAAATACAAAACAAATAAAATTACAATTAAAATGAAAACAAGACACACAAATCCAAACTATTATTACAAACTACAATATTTACTCAAAAATAAAACAAATTATTAGGTGACAAGAAAATTAAAGTAGTTAATACAAATGAGATACCTGGAGAAATACAGACAAACTATACACTTACAATAAAAAATAAGGCATGAAAATCTAAATTACTAAAAAAACATTCAAACAGTTACTCAATCATAATAACAACAACACTAATACAAATAAGACAAGAAATAAAAACTTCACTTAAAAAATTATCAAATTGTATACATGTATTATGTACTTAAAATTTTTATATACATATTTATATTATATTTTTTATTTACTATGTCTGATAATATTATCAATATTAATATTATAATTATAAATATAATTTAAACAATATTGCCAATATTATTAGCCCCTTTAAGTTATATATCTTTCATAAGTCTACAGAACAAACCATCATATTACAACTTAACTAATTACCCTAACCGGCCTAGTTAACCTAATTAACCAAGTGAAGCCTTTAAATGTCACTTTAAGCTGTATAGAAGTGTCTTGAAGAATATCTAGTAAAATATTTTGTGCTGGCATCATGACAGAAATAAATAAGTATTTAATAATTTATTGCTTTAAATAGCCAATCATGGCAAAAATAATTCTAAATAATATAATAAAATAAACCATTAAAAAATAAGTTTTTATATCAGTCTATTGACTATCTTCATTGCAAAAACAATTCAGAATAATATAATATAATATAATATAATAAAATATAATATAATAAAACTATATCATATAAATTCAAACAAACAAAAGTTATATGACATCAGACTTTTGGCATTTAAATGCTACAAAACTCCTTAGACAAAACTTTACCAAATAATTTAATAAGTGAGTTCACTTCATAGAAAAATCTACGAAAATTTAAAGAAGGACAGTCCACTGAATGGTTAACAAAGGGAGAAATCTCGCAAAACATCCTCGAGCAGGGTCTTACCCATTTGGTAGAACAAAATATATTGAATTTACTACCATTCTTCAATTTATTTATTTATTTTTTGCCACATCAGCAACTTATGGCTGTTTCACTGCAAGATCAATATAAATAAAAACCATTACATGATAGAATCAACTTCATATTTCAATAAAAGAAGATATAGATGATTTAAAAATATAAATAAATAAGTTAAATTCACAAAAACTGTATACTAAAAGTTACATATGATTTTTTAATTCAACATTTGTTAAATTACTTAAAGTCTGTCCTGGTAATACCCTTTTAAAACATCTAAAGTGTTTTCATTATAAAAATCTTGTCTTAATGGTACTTAAACTTTTTGATAGTCTGAATTTACATACTTACAGCAGAGGGAACAGTAAGAAGGGTGATGCCACTATTAATTTTCCTATCATCCGCTCCGGGATGTACCACGCGTATACGACTGCACAGGCCATCAGGTACAGCAGAGCGGAGTACAACAGCAGTCTGTAAACCCATAGCTTCAGCTGCTTATGGTTCTTCTCTCTGTATTCCTCAAGGACCTGGATATCCTGAGAGAAAGAGGGAAAAAAGAGATCAATAAAACACAACATAAGGACTGGAGGTAGTCAGCTTCATTCAATCCTTGAACCTTTGTTTGAATTACGTTTAAAATAAATAAATAACCAAATCAATCAATTCATTTAAAATATATATATATATATATATATTTATATATTTTAATTAACTTATTAATTATTTAAAAAATATATTTTATTAATAAATTTTAAATAAATAAATAAATGTATTATTAATAAATAAATTAATTAATTAAAAAGTATAAATAAATTAATAAATTAAGTAAAATATTTGTATTAATAAAAATAAACAATAAATAAATAAATACATGTATTATTTTTTTATTTAAATTATATAAATTTAAAAAATTATATATATAATTTATAAAATAATAAAATAAAATAAAATAATATAAAATAATATTATTTATAAAAATAGTTAAAAATAAAAAAAAATAATTTATTAATTAATAAAAATGTTTAAATAAATAAATTAAATAATTAATTAAAAATGAATAAATTAAAAATGAATTAAAAACAAATTAAATAATTATTTAAAAATAAATAAATAAAAATTACAAATAAATTATCTATTTAATAATAAATAATACATTTGGTTTCAAAAAAAATTCTGACAAAAGTGTAAGCTAATGTTTTTATTTGAATTAATCACTTAATCACAATTTTAGACAATAATTCATTATTATAGTAGTGTTTGCGCAGGTTCATAGGAACCAATGAACTACATTTGTAACAGAACTTGCAATCTTAGTTGGCTAATAACTATGATTTTGGGAAACGCACTCCCATGCTTACACCACCAACACACCAGACACTTTAATGCACACATTTTTACTAATAAAACGTAATTGAGATAAATGAAAAAAAAAATCATTTTAAAGAATTGCAATTAATAACCATGATGATCAGACAATAATTCAGCATTCGTAACAGGCCTAAATATGCACAGTCAAAGATGTAGAAGTGGAGTATTGAGATCCATCATATGAGGGTGTGTTTTCAGCAGGAACAGATCAAATAACAGGATGCATGACGGCCTAAAGACACTGAAACACTGATGATACACTTTAAAATATCCTCCGGCATACAGTAAGCGTAGATGGAAAACCTGTTTTGTCAGAACTTGAATCAAATCTCTATGACCTAGATATCTAAAGCAGAAGTTCATAGAGGCTCTGATCACAGCCCGCAACATTAATTTAATAACACAAAGATCTAATCTTGTCTAAATACAAAACCAGGTCAAATGGCTTAAAAATCACATGCTTTGGCATTTAAACAGCAAATGTACAAACAAATCATTCATACAGTGCTCAGCTGACCTGAAGAGACCTCTGAGTGAGCTACTACTGTAAACCCCATCCTAAAATAACTCATGACACATGCACTGGGCGTTTACAGTGCATGGCTGACATTTGTGTCCGTCTGTAACTGTGTGTTATTCTCTTATCCTGTTTGTCTCCCATCTTTCAAACCATCTCCGACCTTTGTTATTTCTCCCAGGAAACTCCCATAATTTATATGACCCAAGCTACTTATGAAAAATCTCTTTTCTGTCCATATTTGTCAAGTTGCCAGATCTTGTATGAAGCTCAATACCTTTAAAGTATTCCAATTTCAAAAGCATTTCTTTTACCTCAATCTGGCAACATATGCATTGCACTGTAGGCAAACTACAAAGCATTAACATCACTTTAAATATTACTGTTGATTTAAACGGCAAAATTAAGTCCAAGGTACTCGAATAATGTTGATAAAAATATTTTAAAAGTTATTTATTAACATGGCTATTCCTTAAAACTGCGCCTATGCATTTCGGCAAGTAACCCTGATAAAAGCAACTGTTTGCCAAAATGCATAGGCACAGTTTTAAGCAAAAGCCATGTCAATAATAGCTTTTAATATATTTTTTCCACGTTTTTTAAAATGCCTTGGACTGATTTTTTGTGTATATTATGATGAATCCCTTACCCAAAGAGCACTGACACATAATTAAGCTACACCTAAGCACTTTTTGTTTGATTTTAGACTACTGTTGGTTTGTTTGTTTATATAGAGCAACATCAGCAACTCACGACAATTTTATGGCAGGATCTATATAGATAAAAATAAAACAAATAATAACAACGTAATAATTCAGTAAGAGATCATTCATATATATATATATATGTGTGTGTGTGTGTGTATAACTGCATGAGGAAACCTTCAATTTTAAGTAGTAGTAGATATTTTACACTCACAACAGCTGGTGATGATTTAAATAAAATACTAAAAACAACACTTTGTTATTTAAATATCAAAGCATTTTTTAACTCAATCTGGCAAAATATGCATTCACTTTAAATATTATTGCTGGTTTGTTTGTTTGTTTATTTATTTATTTATTTATTGCAACATATGGCTATTTAATGGCAAGATCTATACAGATTACATATATACACATGGCTATTTCACAGATCTATATAGATTAAAAAAATATTACAATAATAACAACACCCTAATTCGGTAAGAGATCATATTGTTGCTGACTAACTGCAAAAGGGTACCTTCAAAATCAGGTAGTAGTAGATAATTTAAACTCACAACAGTTACAACTGGTGATAAATAATACACAACAAACATTATTCAACACTTCATAATGTTCTCAAAGCATTTTTTACCTCAATCTGGCAACATACGCATTCACCTCAAATATTATTGTTGGTTTGTTTGTTTATTTTTTTTCATTGCAACATCAGCAACGTATGACTACTTCATGCATCTATATAAATAAAAACATTACAATAATAACAACGTCATGATTCAGTTAGAGATCATGTTGTTGGTTAACTGCAGAAGGACACTTTCGATATTAGGTAGTATTAGTAGAGATTTTAAAGTCACAATAGCTGGTGATGACTTTAATAAAATACAAAAAACAACACTTCATCATTATAACATTAATTATAATCATAATAACAATCCCTACCATCTTTTTAAACGTGTTTAAAATCATTCACTATTTAAAACATCATTCTGAATTATCAGGACAGTCCCATAAACATGATTAAACACATGGACGTTGCAGAACATTCATAAAGCTGAATGCTTCAGTATCATAAAAGACAGAAAGAGTGATAGCAGAAAATCATTAGATAAGTATTTTTACCTTATCAAGACCCTCCAAGACCTCTACAGTGGATGGTTTAGCCTGGAAATGGACACACAAGTGTTAGCAAGAAAAAAACTCTCAGAATAAAACAACCTCAGCACAACTAAAACTGGTAGGAAGTGAATCAAAGGGTGTCTGTGTTTGAAGTTTATAATCAAGTCACATTAACTAACATGAACTCTTAATCCATGCATGTGCCCATGGACAACCTTATTCTGGACAGGTACATTTTTAGGAATTGCCAACAATATATTATAAAACTAAAATTTCTATTTATTTTAGTTTATGCCAAAAGTGATTAGAATATTTAGTTGTTCCTGTTCCAGAAAGGGGGCAGCATGGTGGTTCAGTGGTTAATGTCGCCTCACAGCAAGAAGGTCGCTAGTGCAGACTGGAGCAGGCATTTCTGTGTGGAGTTTGCATGTTCTCCATATGTTGGCATGGGTTTCCTCCGGGTGCTCCGGTTTCCCTGACAGTCCAAACACATGCGCTATAGGTGAATTGATTGACTAAATTGGTGTGTGTGTGTGTGTGTGTGTGTGTGTGTGTGTGTGTGTGTGTGTGTGTGTGTGTGTGTGTGAGAGAATAATTGCAAGATTGTATGAGTGTTTCCCAGTACTGAGTTGCGGCTGGAAGGGGATCTGCCATTTAAAACATAGGCTGGAATAGTTGGCGGTTCATTACGCTGTGGTGAGCTCTGACAAAAAAACAGACTAAGCTGAAGTAGAATGA